AATTTGACTTCCATTTATAAACTGGGGAAAGGAAAATAATTTCACTAATATCGAGAGATATTCAAATCCCCCAATTTGTGTGTGATAATAATTGTAATACATAAAGAATCTAGTACTAAAGATCCTGAGATATTACAAAAAAAGATCTAATGCCTAACTGTTTACATTAACAATGTTATTATACCAATAGAAATTAAAATAATGCAAGTTCACATTTGCCTATTTATTCATATGATATTAACTACAAGTATTACAGATAATTATAATTATTATGCTAATACGTATAAAGCAAGTTATAATTTCCGATTATTAATTTATCAGCATTAACTCACATTGTCATCATTTCTTCAACACAAAGGCAATGTGAATTATAAACAGAAGAATCCGAGTTTAAGAAGCAAAAGTCAATAACATGTGTTTATGATTTAATCGTATGTAGACAAAAAGATATTCAACACATGTTACAGTTACATTTAAAGCAATAAAATAAATTGTTATGAATTGTTATAAATTGCTATCAATACGTCACTTCCGTGTAAAATAAATAATCGTTATTTACAATATTTCTACCCAAACGGAATACATTGTATTTATCGAAATTTAATTCCACATCTACAAGCTTATTGTTTACTTCAACTAAATTAATCGTCAAACTATTTCGAGATCAAGAATAAATTACGGCGCTTCTCGTTATAATTTAAATATTAATTCACGTTTACATTCTGATAATACACTACAGAAAAGCGAGTCAGTTTTTTTTGGTCTGGAGTCATAATTGACAATCTTAGACAAATCGTTTTTGTAACAAATAATCTTGTTTGTGTCACCAAAAAATGTTCACGCGTATCTTTGTAATCGAGTCCTTACGCATGATTTTGTAATGATAATGCAACATAGGATTTAGGATATTCGTGACATAATGCCGTGACTTGACCGTGTTCGCTATATTTTTAATAACGTTTTGCGAGATGTCATTCTTCCAAACCCTTGATGGTTTTATAAATATTTTATTGTGGATTAGAATATTATATTGCAATTGAAAGGGGCTAATTTAAAAATAAACTAATCATTTTTCTTTTATATGTTTTTTTCATACAACTGTAGAAAAAAACAGAAGCTTATCGCTTATAGGAGATATATAATAGCTACATGCCTAACATTAAACAATTTTTATTAAAAAAATTAAAAATTAGTTTGTGTTATATTAGAATCTTTATAAAATAAAGGAAGAGGAAAAAGATCTTTTTTTCTCTCTCTTGTACTTTGCAGAACATATATGACTATAGGGATTTTTAAGTGCAAAGAGAAACTTGTATTTTATTATTTTATATAATAAAATAATAAAATACAAGTTTCTCTTTGCACTTAAAAATCCCTATAGTCATATATCAAAAGCTATTTAAGAATCTATTCTTACGTTTATAAACGTAAAAACGTGAAACTGAACGTGAACTACGAAGTTAATATCTACGAATGTTTTTAGTGGGTAACGTACAATTGGCTTAAATAATAATAATTAAAAATTAATTAAACAATTGATAACTAAGAGCCAGTAAAAGATGTAGTATTTGGAGCACAAGAAAAAATCTCTCTCTTTCTTTTAATTATTAATATATTTCAAATTATTAGTATATTTCAAATTACTCGTCACAATACATGCAATAAACACGAACGTTTCGAGTTCACCTTTTAATCCGCCTTCAACGTGACATTAATATTACAGATTAGAAAATATTAGACAATAATAATTAGAAAGACAGATTAGAAAATATTAGACATTTGAAATTATATAAATCGGATGCAGATAGCATTTTGTAATATCTTCATGTCGATTGGGAAACGATTTATATAATTTCATATCCTATTGTTTAATCTTTTCCAATATGTAATATAATGATACGCCGTTAAATTTCTGTTCTATAGATACGATCGCGATCAATATCGGAAAATTATTTATTATAATAATATGATTAATTAATTTTTATAAATAACATATAATTAATATCTATATATATATATCGCGACGAAAATTCTCGAATCGCATATTTCGTAATTTATTTTATTCTATTAATGTATATCATATACAGACGATATACATATATGAGCAATAAAGTAGAGGGATTTTGGGGGATGTGGTCTGTATGGCGTTGTGCTCGTTGGTGCCGTTTTTATACGAAAAGTCAGTCGGAAGCCAGCATGCACGCGAATACCGGCACTTATTTGGTCAGCAAGCGATCTTCAGAGATTCTCCATGTCAATCGGCATTGCATCCATCGAATGAGATACACAACATCGTTCTGGAGTTGCATATCATTGTGTTCAAAAGCAGCATTATGTGTGAGGTCTGGATAGCTCAGTGGTCTAGAGCAGTTGCCTGGAAAGCGAAAGACTCGGGTTCGATTCCCGATTCAGCCACTTGCGCCTCACATATTTTTCTAATCTGCGAATATTGTTTTCTAGCAATTATTCATTAGGCTAAAAAATGTGTGAATGCTTTCTTCACAGGATCAATGCCATTGCCACTGATGGATTCTGTCGTTGATGAAATGGGCGTAAAGACACGTCCGACCTCCTGCCACATACATCTTTATCTTTACTGAACATACTACACATTATTATATTTGTTGATCTATCGTATACAAATTATTATAAACATATTTTTTATTAAATTCTCAATTCTAAATTTTAAACTTTGTTGAGCTTTCGATACATCACAAATTTTAAGTTTGTAAAAATATAATTCTTTATGTCCAAAATTTTTTATACATTTCACTATTAATTACAACACCGAGCGTTTCAGGAATTCTAATTAATATCTGAGAATCAAATCAAACAGTCAGTTTATCCATAAAATAAACGGATTAAAATAAACGGATTATATATTAGGATTATATATATTATTAGGATATATTATTAGGATATTATATATTAGGATTTCGGTATCGCATGATAAAAAGACACCCCACAGGAGTTTTTGAAAAATTACGATAAATTAATCTTTCGCACGTATACACACATATGCACATATTACACGTATTGTACACGCACGTATTGTACACAAATGATTTTGGATCTTAAAGTATTTTTGTACACCAAAGCGATAATCATATATGATGCGCATTGTGAACGTCGCTTGAGGGAGATCGCTTTGAATGTGTGCGTGCAAAGATCCGTACGTGAGTCTAAATCTTATTATGAAAAATGTCATAATTCTGACATGCGATTATCACTTCTCGGGATTGACAGCATTTTATTCAATCTGGTCGTAAGAAAAATGCCGTTAGATTTTTAATTACGGCTCTAGTTTCTAAAATATTTCAATTGGAAGTTTATTTGGCGTCAATTTGACGTAAAAGGTCCGGATAAGCTACTTGGTAACGTCGAGAACAGTGACTCTCAATGCTCGGATCCAATTTCTTATCAGTTTTTTATGTAAAAAAACTTGGCGTCGCGACGTTACCGCGTTGCTTGATGCACGCGCGTACACGATGTGTGCAAAAGTTGATTTGCTTTATATGTTATTATATATATATATATATATATATATATATATATAGGATATATAGGATATATAGGATATATATATATAAAGGATTATATATATACAAATTTATTTGCATTATATGTACATATATGTACAATTTATGTATAAATATATTGTATATATACGTGTATATACAAGGTGTAACAGATCACCCGTACACCTTTTAAAATGAAAATAAATGACCCTTTTAAAATAAAAATAAATGGTTTTTATCAAAAATCGCGAACAATTTTTAAATAAATCGGGCACGCTCTATCAAATAGTGATATTTTCAACTTTTGATTCAGACCGGAAATACGTCATCCGGATCGGAAGTTGAATTCTTTTAGGAGAACATGATACATTTTATTACAGATTCGAATTATGCATGAAAAAATAAGAAACTTTTGTTTAAACGTTTTTTCTAAAAGTGTCTCTGTCAATCTTAGAATTAACCTTGAAAGTAACTGTGATGAAATACTGAGCCACTTTCAGAAAAAATGTTTGATACAAAAGTTTCTTATTTTTTCACGTATAATTCGAATCTGTAATAGAAAGTACCATATTCCCCTAAAAAAACTCAACTTCCGGATGGCATTTCCGGTCAGAATCGAAAATTGAAAATATCATTATTTGATAGAGCATACTCGATTTACCTAAAAATTGTTCGTGATTTTTGATAAAAACCATTTATTTTCATTTTAAAAGTAGGATGTACGAGTGGTCTGGGACACCCTGTATGTATATATATACACACACGCGCGCGCGCGCGCGCGTGTGTGTGTGTGTAAACATGTAATTATATTTTTATATATTATTATAGAAATTGTTACAATAAAATAGAAAATAAGACAAAAAAATTAACGAAAATTAATCAAAAATTATTTTTTCTTTTTACTTAATTTTAGACAAAAGATTTAAATATTTTTTGTATGAAGTATTAAAAGTATTGTGCAATATTGCATGTTAAAAGATGCACATGTTAAAAAATTGCACGTGAGTTATAACAACAATAATAATACTCCACGGTTTGTATTTAATATTCTCAGTTAATATTTGCCTCATACGTTGCATGGTAGAAAAAAATATGCTGCGAGAATTATGTTCTATTGATCCGATCATACGCGAAAAACATCCAAGAGACTTTATCGTTTTGAAAAGAATTCTTCCCTTTGTTTTCAATGAGATAACCATCATACGAGCAAAATTACCAATTTATTTGAGATCGTAAAGCCTTTTGTATAGATTTCGTTATATTTGCACGCGAAAATCTTGTCGCGTGTTTGAATATACATATAGGAGATAGACAAGTATATATTTTTCGAAGGATACGCATCTCTCGCGAGCGCTCGATCAACAACAATTATCCGTTGACAACCTGACAAGAAGATGAATGGAAAGAGCGGGACATAAAACGCAGAGAGAATTTCAGCTGCGTCGCATTTCATTCCGTGAGTTGCGCGGGTTACGCCTCAAATTCTCGTAAATTTTCGATAAATCTCGCAAAGATAGATTTTCCAGTAATCAATGATGCAATTGACAAAAGTGCGATGATTCTTATAAAGTATATTCTGCGCGAAGGAACGGTATTTTTGTAAAAGATCTTGTGTCTTCATTTCTTCCGCTGAATGTGATGAAAAGGTAAAATTTACACACATATTAGCTCTTATTTCTTTTTTTTGCAAACTATACATACATTTTACATTTCATTTCATACTAACATTAAATGTTACATACATACAGTTTGTACACTCACTTTATATTTCATTTTAATACTAATAATAAAATTTTAAAGTAAAGATTTAACAAGTAGTAAATTTAATTATTACATGTGCTCGTAGGAGTCTATTCAATACAGCTTGCGAATTATTTTGCGCGTCTATGAATATCATCAACGAAACTACCCTCATGTCCAGAAAAATGCATGTGCAATGGAACGATTTGGATAATGGACAAATGACAAATAAGACAAACAGTAAGATGATATATCTTTATTTTACATCATTTTTAGATAAAATTTGAAATTTATTTGATATGAAATCAAAGAATGGAAAGTTACTTTTTAAAAATAACTAGATAACTAACCGTTATTGAGTTAAAGCTAGTTATTATTATTAGTTATTGATTTTTAAAAGTAATTAGTTATCACTATTTAAAATAACGATTCTTTCTCCCTTTTTTCATTTTAATACTGAAACGAGATAAAAGTAAAAAAATTTTTTTGAATAAAAACCTTACTTTTTGTACTTTTTGTAATTTTTTATTGAAATATTAATAAGAGCAATAAATTTTTTATTTTAAATTTGCAAAACTATAAAAAATTTAGAAGAAAAGTCTTAAAACCTAAAAGCAAATAAATTTTGAATTTTATTAAATTTATAAATACAGTCACACAACACAAAATTATATTCTTTTTGTACTTTTAATTTTATATTTACAAATTTTAATATGATAATTTTACACTTATTTGTTCTTAAAATGCATGAAACTATAAGGACCATTATATTTAGATTAATATATAGAATTATTTAAATCACAAAATATATGTTAAAAGAGGATGTTAAGAAGAAGGCAATTTTGTCTTTCAAAAATGTAAATAAGAAGAAGTGTAGTGTTTTTTATAAATTTTGATATCATCAATATAATAAAACAATCAAAAAATTCATGGAATTTAAAGAACATTTTGACAATTGAGTAAATACATGGTGTATTTATTGAAATTCAGGCGATGTATGAAGCTATCACAAAACATATCCACGTGAGTTTTGATTTCAAACACACTGCCTAATAAGTTAATTGATTTTTTAATCAAAATGTAAAAAACAAATAGAAAAAGTGTTAAAATTCAAAAAATAGAAATTCAATAAAATATAAATAAAAATAAATAAAATTGAAATTAAAATAAGTAAAAAGTAAATTAAATAAAAAATCCATTAAAATATAAAATATAACAATATATAAAAATAAATAATAGAGGTATAAGATTCGACATATAAAATTAACAAATTAATTTCAATAGCAATACGAGTCGAGCGTCGATGTTATGACATATTTATTTATTTATTATACAAACAAAGGCATAAAACAAATATAAAAACAAATAAAGGCATAAAACAAATATAAAAAAAATAATAAAAAATAAAAATAAAATTATACGAAAGAATAGCGAACGTTTCGACTCTATTTTTGGGTCATCTTCAGCGCAAATGTGATGATGTGGTAAAAATATAACAAAGGTGTTACATATCTGAATCGATAAAATAGGATGCCGTCCAAAGTAATATTAAATGTCTCGATATCTCATTATCTTGACGATGCTTCCAGACATCGAAGATAATGGCGAGTCTAGGAGACAAATGGAAACAAGTCCACATCTCCAAAGACAAAGAACGACTAGTCTTTAACAGATAGATGTGACTAATTTATAAACGGTAAAGTGAGTTAAAGGATATAAAAATGTACACATAGCAAAGTCGCAGACCTGTTATGATAGAAAACTAAGTTAAATCTTTGACAAGTTGTTTACAATAGTTAAATAAATTTCGGGTAAGCGTTCAGTGTCCGTTTGCAAATTTAAACCATTTTTTGCCTTTTTATATATAGTATTTCAGAAATTAATCTCTTACTCAAAAATGGTTCACGATCTAAAATCTGCACATCCTCCCAATTAAAGGCATGATCAATATATAAAGAAAATTAAAAAAAAAAAAAAAATAAGATCGACATATCACCTTTTTGTTACAATTCCGGGCTCGAAAAGAAACGAATCTAAATGGAGAATGAATTAAAAGTAGCAAAAGATTTAATGAGAGTTAAATCAACTTAATCTTTTTGTTATATGACATAATAATAAGATTATATAATGGACAGTTAAATTGATTTATAGAAGCATTGTAAAATGATTCAGTTTAGATAATTAGACATACAGAAATAATCTTCTCTATTTCACTCTTTAACATTCTACTCCAAACACGTCTTCCTACTCATTTTACATTGGGTTTTTGTAGTCCTTTCATCTTAATTTATTCCCTAAATCTCTTCCTCTCGCATTCAGTTACTTCTCTTATATACAAACACAAAACATACCTTCTTTCTCGCTCTTCTCTTCTAACAACTCACACACGAATTCGTTTTATAATAGCTCGTCCAAATTTCTATAAATACATCATATTCTTGTTTAATTTTCAGAATATTCCTAAGCCCTACAAATTTTTTAATAGTTTTATCATATTCAGAAGGTCAAAATCTACAAAAAACACTATTCATTTTACTTACATATTTGAGAGCCACAACCGGCTTTTTTAAAAATTATTTTTATTCTTTTTAATATTTATTTTTTTCCTTGTATAAATATTCCTTGCATCATCCGAATTTATTATATGAATATCGGTATATATATGATGATTGAAGATTGAATACATAAAAATATTTGTCGATGTCATAAATATGTTCAAAATATGAAAAATAACATAAATTCGTTATTGTTACTAAAAAAAGTAACTAATGTATGTGACAATTTGTTACCATTAGGACTATCGCACATAAAATTGCATAGCTGCATATGCATATCATAAAACCATATGGATCAATGAGCATCATACTTATGCTTATAATATGTTAAGTAAGTCTATATATAAAATGGTGGCATAATTTTCGATGCTTATGTGCGATGGCCTTTATAGTTACAGAAAAAATGTAACGTTACAGATCCGTTTTATGATAGGTATAAAAATGATTGTTGTAATCATTTAAAAAAAATAAATAATTTTATCGAATTTGATGATTTTGAAATATTTGATCAAGATTATGATCTTTGGCATTGAAATTGGCAAAATCGTGTCAGATATATTCCATTGGTATCTAAATATATATCTAAATATTTTTGAAATATTATATTTAATCAATTATATTTATCAAAAATAAAATAAAATCACTATTTAAAAATGTATTAAAAAATGCGGCACAAATATAAAAGTTTGTAAGAATTTGTAAGAATTATGAAACATGTTACATACAAATTTTGACAATCATGTTGCGTGAAGAATCTTGTTGTATTATATTTGTTTAATATGATAAGTATATATATATATATATATATATATATATATATATATATATATACAGGGTGGGGAAAAAGTATGGAAGCAAACAATTATTTCCGAAACTATTCATTTTTCGACAAAATGTCTTAGACATAATTTTTATGGTATGAAAAGATGTATTATGTGGCATAGACGGCATGACCTTGAAATGACCCTTACGAGCTGCATACAAATAACGTAAAAAATTTCAAATGGAACTCGTCAGTTTTTGTTACAGATTCTTGTAGCTGATGTCGAAACGTTTACAAAACACTGCATATGAGCCCCATTCCCTTAAAAACACTCTCAGTTACGAAACAATTGTGATACAAACAATTTGTATGCACATTGACATTGCTTACTGATTTCGCATCATGACGTTCAGTTGCGTCCACTAATAACATGTAATTGTACCTGTTGTCATATGATACACTGTCTATGAGTATTCATAGAATTTTTTTGATTTCTTGATCATCGCTACCTTATTTATTATTATCATTTATTTTATCCTTAAAAAAGTAGTGTCAATTGGTATACAAGTTTCGGATATTGTGTTTTGAAAATTTGCTATTTTTGTCGTTTTCTATCATAGGAATTGTTACTGATTTTCATTTCTGTAATTTCAAATGTTATTTTCACGATGGCCCGATTAACAGAACGAGATCGAATATCGCTGTTGATGATGCGTGGTTGGGGTGAGAATGAAAGAACTCACGATGAAGTTACAGTTTTGTTTAATGAAACTTTTCGAATCGGACAACCGGGCATAGTAAGATCTACCGTTGCTAAGACAATTCAACGATTTAATGAAACAGATTCCGTAAAGGATAAGCCAAAAGTAGAAGATACGAATTATCACAATTGTTTCGTAACTGGGAGTGTTTTTAAGGGAATGGGGCTCATATGCAGTGTTTTGTAAACGTTTTGACATCAGCTACAAGAATCTGTAACAAAAACTGACGAGTTCCATTTGAAATTTTTTACGTTATTTGTATGCAGCTCGTAGGGGTCATTTCAAGGTCATGCTGTCTATGCCACATAATACATCTTTTCATACCATAAAAATTATGTCTAAGACATTTTGTCGAAAAATGAATAATTTCGGAACTAATTGTTTGTTTCCATACTTTTTTCCCACCCTGTATAATGGATGTTTCAGACCATCCGTACACCTCTTTTAAAATGAAAATAAATGGCTTTTATCAAAAACCGCGAACAATTTTTAAGTAAATCGGGTAAGCTCTATCAAATAGCGATATTTTCAACTTTTAATTCCGACCGGCAATACATCATCCGGATCGGAAGTTGAATTTTTTTAGGGGAACATGGTACATTTTATTATTTTAAAATTGACCTTGAAAGTAATTGTGATGAAATAATCATCTTCAAATGTTAAGATCAACAAAGGCCTTTTTAGGAAAAACGTTCGATACAAAAGTTTCTTATTTTTTCACGTACAATTCGAATCTGTAATAAAAGTACCATATTCCTTTAAAAAAATTCAACTTCCGGATGGCGCATTTCCGGTCAGCATCAAAAGTTGAAAATATAATTATTAGAGCGTACCGGATTTACTTAAAAATTGTTCGCGATTTTTTATAAAAATAATTTATTTTCATTTTAAAAGGGATGTGCGAGTGGTCTAAGACACTCTGTATGTATATATTTATACACACACACACACACATACATACAGGGTGTCCAAGACCATTATATATATATATATACATATATATATATATATATATATATATGTCTGTGTGTGTATGTATAATCGTGAGTGTCGACAATTTAAATCGATAATCTGGAATAAATGTATATAGACAAGCCTTCAAACCTGGACGATGACGTGGCAAATCCTAATGTGACGAGTAATAACAAGTCGGCAAACAGTGATCTATACCAAGCCTTATTTCCAATTTATTATATCAGCAAAGTGTCCGGTGTATTTCCAATAAGATTTGTCCGACACGTATCTGGCAGGTATCAAGGCCGATTGAGCATCATCGATAGCAGTTACAGGTGACAATGAACCATCAAATCGATTTATATCCCAATGTAGATAAAAATCAAATTTAATTAAACGTTTTAATATAAATATATATGTGTGTGTGTGTGTGTGTATACAGTGATTTATTTGGAAAAATTGTCACCTTGTTTATTTTGTAACTAATTTTTGTAAAATATACGAAAAGGAGCTATTTTCTCCAAGAGAATATCGATACGATAAATTCAATGATGTTGTCTTTCATCTTCTTCATCGTTGTTGCTTTTCAAAAAGCTTAAATGACAATAAAGGTTAAGTGAGTACATCATTTTAAAATTTCTTGTGATTTTCTTTACAATCATGTTTGTTTTTTTTTAATTTTTTAATTTGAATATTTTCTGAGAAATCATATTTGACATAATAAAGATGATTCCAAAAATTCTAAATAAATATGTTTTAGAAAATATCTGCTAAAGTAGTTATATATTTCTGTATAATTCTTTACCAAATTATTCATATTTTTCAATGAAATTTTATATAACAATTATATATATAATAATTATAGATAACAATATTTTTTACAATTTTTAATTGTCCTCATACACAATAAAACTATTCTAGAACCCGTCAAAAGTATACATCTAAAGAATATATTGTATCCCTTCCATGAACTAAGCCATTCTTGATAAGAGTAGAAGTAACTATTCAGCTACACAAAATTCCTACAAAAATGGATTGGAGAGAAGATGAATAAAAAAAAACTATCGATTTTTAACTCACCTGAATTTTTTCTGTAAAGGCATTTAAAATCTACTGTTTATAAAACTTTATAGAAAAATATAACGATTTATATTAAATGATCGTATAAAGAAATATGTATAAAGCTATTCCTTCCAACGGATGTCTTTCAAAATGTTCGTTTAGTTTGAAACTCGGTTTTATTGTTACTTAAAAAACAATAAAAAACATTTTTAACATTTGTTATAATAAAATCCCAAAGTAAATAAATTGTATTCTAAATTTTATTTCAAATTATTTTGTACCTAACCCTTCTAAAATACTATTCTTTGGAAATATGTATTTAAATAAAAATAACTGTTATATAGAAAAAAA